AAAAGAAATATGAATATCACATAAACAAATATAGTTTTGTCTGTTAATCAATATAAACAAAATTCCCTTATGAACTACAGTGAGATCCACATCCGTTCTGAAGTCCAATATAGCCAAACAGTTAATAATATATGGCCTTCGAAGGAACTTTAACTTTCTCTTTTATATATGTCCACAAGGCAATCTATTTTCATCTAAGATATATACAAATATAACGCACAAATTATAAGACTGCAGAAATGTGTGTGTTTGTGTGTGACATTTGTGTGAAATAATTCATTTACAGGCCATTTTGTCTATTAATAAATAATGCAGACTGTTTTTCAGTATCGAATTCTCGAAAACCCAAAAGGTAAAGCGGTAAAGCCTAACGTAATTAATCCGTCAGTTAGATAATGAAAAAATATTAGCCACATATTTTTTTATTTGGTCGTACCTATAAGAAAACAGTGATTAGATAAAACGGAGTTAAGTTTAGGAGTGAGAGGTCGTTACGTCGCGCTACCCTATAAAATGTAGTAAATTGTGACGTCACACGATATTTCAAATCAATATATCGTCGAAAGTAATTCATTTTGTAGGAAAAGAATTTTTTTTTGTCGCATAATAAAACAATACTTTAGATAAAACGAATCAAAGTTTAGGAGTGGGCTAAAACATCATTTCTACGCATAAAATGTACATAGAAGTGTCGTCACGCAACATTTCAATTCAATATATTGTCGAAAGCATTCGTTTCTGTAAGAAAATAAAAAATACGTGTCTAATGTTTGAAAACAATCTACCAGACGGACATTATAATAAAATTTAGGAAACTACCCTATTATTTTAAACGATTGTGGTTTTATACAACAATTAACGTTTTATAAAGTTAGATAATATTTAGTGCGAACGATACTGATAGTGAACAGTACCTACATAGTGGTTGTAAAACAAAACAATTGCTAAACTAATTAAAGCCAAACTAAACGGCTATAAAATGAATTTATTGCACGCCAGTTTGAAGTACATCTAACACATTTGTGAAGTGTTTTTGGTACTTATAATTGCTCATTCGTTATGTACATTTACCGCCGGTCTCCTATGGCATGACAGGGACTATGGATCGCCAATTGCTACGATTCCTACATACCTCTGTCGCTTCATCAACAGTCATCAGTCCCTTCGTGCATGCTCGTCGGTTAACATTAACGTAGATAACATAACATAACATCACGCCTTTTATCCCCGAAGGGGTAGGCAGAGGTGCACACAGAAGTAACACCCACTTTTGACTATTTATGTTATGAGTCCCATGTAATAGGTGGGGGTGAGCCTATTGCCATATACAGGACACAATTCCAGACTCCGTGCTACTACTGAGAATATTTAAAAACCCAGTAATACTTTGCCCGACCCGGGAACCGAACCCAAGACCCCTTGCCCGGCAGTCGCACTTACGACCACTCGGCCAACGAGGCAGGCAGTTAACGTAGATAATTCAGTATAAATTCAATTACTTATATTTCTCTAGTAAGTAAGCGCTTGTCTCAAAAAATATTAGAATTCGAATTATAAAAGGTTTTTTGTATCAAATGATCTATTTATTGATGTAAACTATTTATATACAATCACACTGACCACAGCGTGATAAATGTCCTTGGAAGTCTGAAGTTTTTGTCTATAGTATGTGCCAGTACATTTACAGTTTCATAACATTAACACAGCAAGTCGGTTAAAGAGAAACAAGTTTACTTTTCTGCAGAAAACCTCAAGCGGCGCAAGTATAACAACCTTGCTGGTAGTTATATCTTTGAACCGTTTGGGGTTGAGACGCTAGGTCCGTGGGTTCCGAGTGCGCTTAAATTATTCAAAAACATTTCGAAATGCCTGGTCGACACATCTCGTGACCAGAGGGCTGGTCTTTTTCTCGGTCAGAGGTTAAGCATTGCCATACAACGTGGCAATGCTGCCAGCCTTCTGGGTACTTTCCCCACTGACGTCGATGCGGACGAGTTTTTCGATGCCTTATAAATAGTTTGTTTTTCTATTAATTTTAATCTTAAGTTGTATATATTTAATTTAGTAATATTAAGTTTTAATTTTATTTAAATAATAGTTGTTATTTAAGTTTTTTATAGAAATAAATACTGGTATTCTTTTTACCAAAAAAAAAAGAATCAAGTTATTTCTATTTACGTTTCCTTCATAAAAGCCGACTTTGTTAAAGACTTTCAAGTCGGAATGTGATAAAAACCGTTTATTGAACGTCTATTGACGGTGGAGAACGGAATGGCAACCGGAATAACAATCCCGTACCGGAACCGCTGCCGGTGCCGGTAGAGAGCTAACCGTATTACGCGCCGTCGCTCCTTGCTGCTCAATGTACGCATTTTATTCCCTTCCGTCTACTCTTTAGTATAACAGTGTTCTTTTACAAATTTCTGGTGCCTTATTTATTCTATGGATATCGAATGTTACAAGTGACCTTTGACCTTTTCCAGTTGTTAAAAATGCATAATGCAACTTCATATCATTACAAATTATACTGTCGTAACAAAATATCGTCAAATATACTCATCACAAATATTAAAATATCGATTGAAGTCCAAATATTAAGTTATACTAGTTCAAGGAAACGTTTTGAAAATTTTGACTCAAAAGTCAATAAAAACGAGCAGAATAAAAAAATAAAACTCGGAATTTTATTTCGATTCCAGATTTGACAATTTCAGTGTTGCAACGTTATGACAAGTACTAAATAGTGACGTTGCGAAATTATTCGATATGCAAATGCAATATTTCTGGATCGATTCTTCTCATTTATAATTTTACTCTCGTAAACTAAGGATATCAGGAAATTAAATATTTCTGACCGATAATTTAGTTTTGACGATTACTTAACGATCTGAGACTTTTCTTTTATAATTGTGTGTGAAATAACTAAAAAAATGTAATCATGAAGGAACATGACAAATAAAACAGATAGATGTATTATGGTAATATTGTCGCCGTCATCGCTATCGCTATCCTGTCACTTTCTGTAACATTTACCTTATTATAAAACACACACACTGATTGTTTATCGATTTTTGTGTCCATCACTATACTATTATATGTGGTATCATTATTTCACAAAATGACAGTAGCTATTGTCAAATCTGGAATCTAATTAAAATTCTGACTATAGAAAAAAGACGTGATGTAACAAGATACATCAATGTACAGAGGGTTCCAAAAACGAAAACTGATCTCTACAACCCTGTCTTAAGGTATAAATCTCCGTGTAAATGTTTACAGGTATCCTATTTGAAAAGTTCAGCTCTTTCATAATTCGAACGATATTTGCATGGTTCAGTGGCCAGGAAAGCTCTCGCATGTGATACGCATAACCCTTTAAAAATGCAACATTTCCTTCGCTCTTTTTTGTAAAAAAGATGACGTATTTTTTACAAAATTAATATGGTTTCAGTATGTGATACTCGGTAAATGAGACCTTTTTTGAATAAAGAGATAGAAAGGTAAGCATAACTATAAAGGCCCGTTAAGAAAAAAATATTTCTTTAAAACACACACGCTCGCTACACCTTTTAATTATCCTTGAGATATTACTATTCGTCTAGTACACAACCCAGTTTGCTTTGAAACTCCAGCTGTTAGGAACCGGGCATCAATACCAAGCCACGTATACATTGAGTTGTCAGAATGCATTGTTGTGCTGATCTCTCATACATTCCCGGCATTCGACTGCGAATGTATTGGCTTGGAGGTGCACCTCAATCTATGGCCGTATCACAAAGGAATTGCGGTGAGAAGCCGTTATAATAGGAGACGCTTGTATGTCTCAAGTTTGAGGTTTGAAATTTGAATACGAGTACAATAATATAGAAGCGAAAGTTTGTAAGTACCTATGTTTTTTTGTCATTCTTCTATAGCGCTTCGCAACAAGCTTCCTTGTGCGAGCTGCTAAGGAGTAGAATTCTTTGCCAGAGTCTGCATTTTCTGAAGGATATAACCTGTGTATCTTCAATAACCGAGTGAATAGGTTGCTTATGGGACGACGTGCTCAATCGTAGACCTCATCGCTTACCACCAGGATGAGACATGGTCAAACGTCGGCCCATGAAATATAAAAAAAACTCCATCATGCAAAAACTATTGAGCTAATTGCGATGAAACTTGGTACGAGATGATAAATGTCTTGGATAACACAAACCTAGACGATAAGTAATTTTGTATTCATAAGAAGCGTTAACCGTTAACAGAAGGTAGTATTTTTCATTTGAATTCCTAAAATACTTCTTGCATGGTGTACAAAAACTTGAGGCTCTTCTTAATTTGATTCCTAAATCAGAAAAAGCATTCTGGGTCTGAAATAAAAGATAGTAACAGACTAGAAAATTAGGAAATTGTACTATAGTAGGTTCAAATGCCTCAATTCTAAGTGGTTACCTACATCTATTCGTAGAATGAAAACAATTTTAAAATTCTTTATAAAGAAAGAGTAATAATTTTCTACGAAATCTACAACTGCAGCGTGTAGAATATTCAAGTTGCCTCCGTTGCTTTATATTTAATGTTTTTAATTTACACCCTGTATTGATTTCACACAAAATCCTCATGAAATTGATACAGCCCTGTAACCTAGTCTAGTTAACTGACGTAGTGTTTAAAAAGGTTGTTTTATCGTTACGGCTTGTTCAGTGTTAGAACTTGACTTGTTGATAGGTTTTCAAACTATTGTTGTTTGAAAAAAATATAGGAATAGGGTTCAGTTTAAACGTACTTGCACTAACCGTGCATTTTACCATAAATCATTTCTTGTGATAAAACCTAAAGAAAATTTCGTACATAAAAGACGCGAGCGAATACGCGTGAATGCGCGCGGACAGCCGAATTTTGCACCTTGACTCTGTGGCCTTATAAATTAACCCTACCAGTTAAAACGCCGAATTAGATGACTTGTGTAGGTATAACTTTCATCAGTTTGAAGTCGGCAAAAAACTAACATAGTAACTGACCTGTATCAGCCTTGTGTCGCCACTGACAGTGTAGACTCCGTGACAGTCGGCGTTGTCCTCCGGCTTGTCTGATGCTGGTGATCTTCGCCAGCAAGCTGCGCAGACCGCCACCAACACACCGCATAACGTTACACTGCAAATAAGATTAAATTATTATTTTTTGATCACTTAACACAAATACAAATAGTCAGTCGAAGTGATCCATCGCTTAAACAAGTCTTAAAAATATCTGACATCCATTCTATAGGGTTTCTTTACCAAAAATTGTTTTCTCGTTGTAGTCTTGTAGTAGGTATGTATATAAATTATTGAATTGCTCTAAATAAATTATTATGTTTTCGGCTTAATCACGTAATTATTTGACGAGGAACTCGACTGGTTTCGTGAATATGAGCTTCTAGCATGGCTTGAAACTAGTCGAGTTCCTCGTCAAATAATTACGTGATTAAGCCGAAAACATAATAATGAATTGTTCTAGTTGGAAAAACAGTATATTGAACTAAAATCACGTTATAGCTGATGTCAAACACCCTTCAGTACCAATTAAAAAGTATTACGGACAAATTAACTTGGAACGAAATAATACGGCTATAGAAAAATTCTGTTTTCGAGAACTTGTATTGGCATGAACTCGAAAATTCCTACCGCGAAGTTTTAAAGGAGGTCAAAGATTAAATATTTTGTAAGTTATCAGTCCTACTACGGTGTCCATTACTTTTGAAACACGACAAATACTGATAAGTTTATATAGTGACTGTTACTTTTCAAATAAGAATGATGACTTGGCGGGTGTAAAACATTTACGCCCGAATATTGAAAGGCAACCCAATTTTAAATTGTATTTAAATATCGTGCCATCTCTGTCATTTTACAAAGAATTTGTAGTGAGAGAATGATACTTAAGCGCGACTTAAAGTTGAGTGGCGTTTGAGTATTTGGACATAGTTGGAAACTAATGTTCTACTGGGTTACAACCCAGTAGTACTTTGCCCGAGCCGGGAATCGAACCCGAGACCTCTTGCCCTGCAGTCGCACTTGCGACCACTCGGCCAACGAGGCAGCTAGAATTCAATCGTTAACAAAGTTCCAACAAAATGTTTGCAACAGAATTCGGATGACATTATTTCATACACATAACAACTTTAAAACTTTAGAGATAAGTAGACTTCACAGTGTAATAAATTCTTAATTAATAAATAATCCTCTTGTCGAAATATTCTGGCTTCGCTTGTAAAAGTGATAATCTTTTTAATTATGAAGTCTTTAATATCGTACCACGGTAACACATTATTAGTAAAACAAAAAATGTATAACTTACGTATATAAAAGATTTTTTTACAAAACACTAAACTAAAGTACCTACAACTACCTATGAACTTTTTTTTTTGGGGACAATAAAATGTTTATTTCTATAAAAAACTTAAATAACAACTATTACTTAAATAAAATTAAAACTAAATATTACTAAATTCAATATATACAACTTAAGATTAAAATTAATTATAGGAAAAATAAACTATTTATAAGGCATCGAAAAACTCGTCCGCATCGACGTCAGTGGGGAAAGTACCCAGAAGGCTGGCAGCATTGCCACGTTGTATGAACTAGTTTTTGATTTGACAAAAATCTCCCAATAACAAAGATATCATCAGTTGTTTAGTTAGGTCTTTGAGGTGAGCATGGGTGGCTCACCGTCCGACCAGAACCAGACCCGAGCGTACGGCACGTTGCGTTCCGCGCGCGCCTCAAAGAGCCATCAGACCACCACGGATGGGGCCCAATAGGGCTGATGCCGATTCGGAGTCGCGGAGAAACTAACGGGTTACCGGGTCTCCGGCTCGAAGTGCAGAAGCAGGAACGGGGTGGTTTTTAGTCAGTAAGAGTCTGACACTCCCTCCCGCCTGACCCAGGCGGGAGCAGTCATTCGATGATATTACCCCATTAAAAAAAGCTAAAAAAATTACATTCCGTAAGTATCTAGATACTGCGTCATAATTAGAGACGGTGGGATTAAATTTTTCACCGCATATCTGCCGGTAAATTAATTCCAACATCGGCGAAGATTATAGGGGAGATAAATCGGGCTCGATCAGCTCGCGATAGCTTAATTAACGTCACTATCTAAACTATATGTACATATTGTTATATGTTATACATGTATAGAGGCGTGATATCTGTCGGTGTAGGAGACTTTTCATATTTTGCCAACAGATTAAAGTAGCGTAAAGTTTGTATTTTTTAACGTTGCTCCCACACTCGGATTTTCTGTGTTGTAAGTGCGTTTACAAACGTTGTCACATACACATGACACCCAGACTCGAATCAACAATTTGTGGATCACACAAAGCGTTAATCCGTGCGGGAATCGAACCCGCTACATATTGCACGGCAGCCGGTTGCCCAGCCACCGCACCAACCGTGCCGTCAATTTACATTATGTAGATATTACACGAAACTGCTGCACACATTTAAATGAGATTTTGAGTCGTAGGAACGATCTTAATGTTTATATTCCTAGGTCGGTAACATAGACGTTTGTAAATTATTCTCATAATACTCAGTAATGATTTAATTATATTTTTTTTATAACATCACGCCTTTCATCCCCGAAGGGGTAGGCCGAGGTGCACATTATACCATCGTACAATGTAGCACCTACTTTTCACTATTTTTGTTATGAGTTCCATGTAATAGGGGGTGAGCCTATTGCCATATACCGGGCGCAATAACAGACTCCGTGCTACTACTGAGATTTTTTTTAAAACCCAGTAATACTTTGCCCGACCCGCAAACGAACCTGAGACCCCTTGCCCGGCAGTCGCACTTGCGACCACTCTGCCAACGAGGAGTAAGTTAATTAATTACGTCCAGTATTGAAATCCACAACCATTAAACTGTCAAACACCAAGCGGTCACCGGTGACCGCAACCTCTTGTTCTATAATTGTGTCTATAATGACGGTACTCGACGAGTTAAGTACATATTCATTATTTCATTAGTTGCAAAATAATTGAGGTAACTAACTTGTGTGCAATACCTTTATGATACTAACAAATACTTGTATTACAAATAAAACAATTGCGCTAAATTCTTTAAATAGTTAAATGTGGCAATTATGAAAATTGAACATTATTAGTAAGCAAATATGTGCTAAAATCACATATTTTTCATCAAAGTTTCTTTGGCAAATTACGTTAAAAACAGCCTAGACCTAGTTAGCCACTAACTTATTACACTTATTTATCCTTGCACTACTTTACTAAAAATAACTATCGCTCTTTACATTTTTAAAGTCTAATAAAATTACAAGTTTGCCGCAGTACCGTATGTATTTTATAAATAAAAAATCCTTGCACCATTCTCCTAACATTTTTGTACTACATCACACATAAATAGTATTTATACTAACTTCACTCATTAGACTTTGGTATTTTAAATCCCCAAAGAGATCCAAAGAGACGTGACATTTAATCAAAAACCGCATTTCAACTGTCAGGTCTGCTCCCATGCAGTAAAAAAGTACAGTCTTCGCATACGGTAAGAAGTCATGAAGTTTTAGTACGAATTTATTTTACGTTTTAAGTAATCGAAACGAGACCGCGTCCGGCCGCCTGATTGGGTGGCTACAATAAAGCAACCAATCACAGCGCCTAATGCGGTCTCGTACTAAGCCCTCTAATCCAGGAATCGAACCTCTCGATCATTGAGTAAGCTTAATACGTTTCAAATCTACTTATTCCTTCAAATTTTGTTAATCACTCATTTCTAGGTTATAAATAAATGATTTGGTGTTGTATAATTCCACTTAATTTTAAGGTTTCTTACTCTTATACAACAATCATAGTCTAAACCAGAAGCCCTTCAATACAATGGACAAGAACTTTTCCAACCTAAGTTGTACACAACCATACAAAATGTAAATATAACAAATTAACACAACTTATATACGAGTATATATAACTAACTTTTACCCGCGGCTTATACTGTTTGTCCTTCAAACTCAAACTCAAAAACATTTATTTCAATTAAACCATAATTTGGTACTTTTGAAACGTCAACAAATATAAGATAAATAATAGTCTGTCAGTCTGTCCGTCAGTGAAGCTAGGCGCTCGTTCCAAAATGTAGATTCGATTGGACTTCATCGGGTTCTCAACTATATGTATGTAAAGAGTAAAGACTGTACTACAGCATATATGTCAAGAGGTAGGTATAAACTAACACACTTCCCCATTTATAATATGGTCAATACCTAAACCTTTCACAAGAATTACACTATCTATAGGTGACAATCGTATAAAATTCAGTCCAGTAGTTTTTGAGTTTATCGCGTTCATACAGACAGATGTTGAAAGGGGACTTCTTCTTATTATAATTATGATGTGTATGTTGGGATTAGTTTATATAACCTTCATATACCAATACACGGAATAGTTTCATGTTATTAGTAAACTGAAACTGATAACAATGTGCGAATAGAAAGTATTGAATTGTGAAAGCCTACAACTTCCAGATTCCCGATATAACTTGGTTTGGCATACTTCTTCGACCTTGTCCGAAGGTAGGAGCCGTGTCTGTTGCTATGCTATGCTATATTAGGATACTGTTGGAATTAATCTTTATATTCTTTAAAAAAATAAACTCTTTCATAGGACACAATACCTGTCTTCTTTATTCTTGAAAAATATTTTAGTTAGTGACTTTTGACTTTTGTAAAAGGTTTGTCAAAAGATAACTACTAAACTATGTATATTGTTATGACTATAGTAGGTACATTAAGCAACACACAACAAAAATTCAAACACCATGATATCTTCAAGAATTAAAAGAACTTCACCACAGCTCAAAAGATCGACGAGTAAAAAACAGTAGTACATACAACATAAGAAAGAAAGAAAGAATATCTAACTGTACGGTTGATGCGGTGGCTGGGCAACCGGCTGCCGTGCAACGTGTCGCGGGTTCGATTCCCGCACGGAACAACACTTTGTGTGATCCACAAATAGTTGTTTCGGGTCTGGGTGTCATTGTGTATGTGAACTTGTATGTTTGTAAACGTACCCACGACACAGGAGAAAATCCTTATGTGGGGCAACGCTTTTTAAAAGAAAAAATATCTCATTCGCAGCGCATTACCATCACGGTGCCTCCATATTATCTCGACACATATAAACAAAGCAGTTGAACAACCAGGACAACGTGCTCTTTCATTATATTAACGACAGAAATTATTTTACAGAATTATCCCCTTAACGTCTCTAATAAATTCATTCTCGCTCTCGAAGCTGGAAACTGCAAATGGATCCTTTTAGCACACAACGTACGAAGATCCTTATCGCTTTTATAGCCATTTACGCAAAAAATAAAATAGTATAAGGTAATTTTTTTATGTTTAGCTTGATACTGTAATTTGTATGTGTGATATGAAACTGCCTCGTTGCCCGAGTGGTCGCAAGTGCGACTGCCGGGCAAGGGGTCTCAGGTTCGATTCCCAGGTCAAGCAAAGTATTACTAGATTTAAAAAAAAAAAACTCAATAGTAGCACGGAGTCTGGAATTGTGCCTGGTATATGGCAATAGGCTCACACCCTATTACATGGAACTCATAACATAAATAGTGAAAAGTGGGTGTTACATATTACAGTGGCATAATGTGCACCTCTGCCTACCCCTTCGGTGATGTTATGGTATAAGGTAATTTTTTTATGATTAACTTGATACTGTAATTTGTATGTGTGATATGAAACCTGTTATTTATGGCTTAAAACTAATATTCCAATATTTATATTATCGTTGCATTGATATGCAGATTTTTCTAAATTTTAGGCAACAATTTTTCTTCCCTAAATAATTGAAAATGTATAAATATTCTGAACTAACTTTAACTCTGAACCAAATAATAGAACGCGATCCTAATCTCTAGTCAACCAATCTCCATGCTACTGCTAATCTAATCCAATAACATTAATATGCGAGCTATTTGCGATCAATACTTTATTTTTATAAATTTTAAAATAACTTCAGAGTTTACGTCTTCAGTTCTGACGTCTGTATTCCTAAACTAGGTCGCAATTGGGTCAAGAGATAAAATTGGTATCTATGCTAGAAGTACCAACTTATAGGTAAAAGTTGATTGAACGATCAAAAATTAATTTGTAAATTCAGTAATTCATCAATGATAATGAGGGTTTATTTAATCCTGTTGTGTGTGAATGAATATTTCAAAGTCAAAATCATTTATTTCAATTAGACCAGAAAGGCACGTTTGAACGTCAACAAAAAAATTTAAAGTGAACCTATTTGCTCATGCCATTGTGTAGATTCCTATGGAGAAGAACGAGCAAGAAACTCCATAGGTTACTCTTTTTCAATCAGGTTCACAATACAATTGTCTAGTTACATAGTTTTGCTGTTTGGATTGTGCGAGAACAATGTAACACTATAATCCAGTCAAAGTGATCGAAAAAGAAAATAACCTAAATTTAAAACCTTTGTCATTATATTAATATCAACTACAAGACCTTTACCCTGTCTCAATGTATTCCATCGATCTCCCAGATGGGCCGGTTACAAGCGACCTGCAACCAGCTGTTATTTACGACCATCGTCACGTTGCACGTTTGTCATGCTGCTGTTAAAAACTGCTGCACAGAATCCGATGGAGTTTTGGATACTTTTAACGTAAAATAACTTGACCTCGGGTATTTCTCGATGTATACTGTATAGTGTGGTTATTCTCGATGTACATACCTATATCTTGAAAGTACTATGTCCTATTTCCGGTACCCACATTTTACTTTGTGTTTGAAGTTAAAGGAGACTGTATTCTCTGAGCTCTTTTTTCCTGTGATTTTAATTTTAAAATGTTTCTTTTTCTCATTTTTCACAATTTTCATCATTATTTAATTAATTATTTTAACCCTCTATACTTTTTAATTGTCATCACTATGTATTGTGCATATATTGTCTCAGCTGTCCCTACCTACCTATAACGTATAGTTATCCTAAATTCATATGAGGTATCACACGTCAAATTAAGTGTTCTGACGGTTGTCGAACTCAAACTAAGTTAGAGGTAATCCCTTTGGCGACACATCTTAAGCGAAATAAGCGATACTCAGTATTGGGTAACTGTTCCATAGTATTACTCCAATGTAAACTGTGTTATGTGAAGTTAGTTCAAATTAACATGGTCGGTTCTTGTGAAAATCTTATCGAGAAATTAATAAAAGTTCGATTATGATAATAACATTTTAACTTGGTTTGTAGTTGCGCAGTGTGTTACTTTTTACGTTAGATAACATAACTAGTATAATACTTTGGACGTAGACATAGCTAAAGAAATAAAGTTAATTTTCCATTGATTTTCAAATTGCATTGCATTATATCTGTTATTATATTGGCAAAAATACCATAAAATTATCTCTTAACCACGTATGTTACAGACAACTGAACAGTAAATAATACAGTAAGTATCCCTGAAATGAATCATGAAAAGTCCTCTTAAGCCGAAAAAATCTCTTTTTGTATGAAAGTATAATTACAAAGGTCGTGCTGCCACCTGGTGCGTAACATCAAAATGATACAGAATTATCCCCACTTACCCTTTCGCCTGAGCTCCCCATAAATCCCGAATTGCACTTTAGAATGCTCACTCGACTTGAATAATGATATCATAAAAAAAATATTCTTGACACACACCAAAAATAGGTTATATACACCCTAAAACTGTAAGCCAAACTTAAAACTACAAGGCGGGAGAACTCACTGAATGATTTTCCCACCTTAAAAAAAATCAAAACTATAACGACTGCTCCATCAGTAATCCATTTTCAATCTGGTTAAAAATATTGTGGTGCATTATGTTTAAAAAACAACATGTGGCTTTATACATGGCTTAGAAAAGTTCCGTAGTAATGAATATCGGGGTTCCATACTTCCATCTAACTTCGAGTTCAGCCATCAAACTTTAAAAGGTGTCCAGCCATTATCGGAGATTGAAATATGGTGGTAAGGTCTTGTTATCACCATAAACCAGTTACGACGTACTTTTAACCCTGACTTTACTACTCATTTACACGTTATAGTTTAAAATAACGGTTCAATCTTGAACCTTATGTTCATGAGTTGGGAATTTATAACAGAATATTGTTCCACCCTTCCCCTGCTGATATTAGACCGGTTTATTATCTCCGTGTTACGAACGTGTGATAACATATTTTGTAACGTTCATTAGTGTAGTTTGTTCTGTATTTGTCGTCACATGTTTTGTGTAATGTACACACGGCTACACATCGAGCTTTACATAACCAGTATAAACTGAACGTTAAATGTGCGGAAAGATGATGCGTCGCGATACCAGGGTAAACTGGTTTTGTATAGGTTGATGTGTGGCCGTGTGTACTAGCTTTTCCCCACAGTTTCGCCGGTATTCAAATTTTCACTCAAATCGTGATCAAGAATCACTATTATTAATGTAAATTACATGCAAATGCATCAAGTAGTTTTAGACTTCATTGCAAACCCACTGACGTGAGAGATACTTGTTTATCATAAAGAACCCACCTGACGAAGAATATATTGATATTGTACGAGGAGGTCTCAGTCTGCAGTACGTCTGGCTGCGTGTGGTTGTAGTAATGTCGTGCGTGCGATACGGCCGCCACCGCGGCTAGTCGCTGCGAGCTGCCCATGGCCCAGCCGAGCGGGCTGCGCTGCGCAACAGCTGTCCCGGCGCCCGCCACCAGCCACAAGCACTGCCAGCGAGCCACCACCACTCCACGCGGCGCCGCCTGCGCGACCGCCGCCACTAAGCCCCCACTTTCTTTACCAACTATCACTACAGTAACCCTCTTTTCCAAACTTCGTTATATAGCTTTCACCATATTTTTACAATCACAATAAATTATTAAGCTCTGTTATAAGCTGTTCACCATAATTAATTGTCAATGGACACTGGCTCATTGGTTCACAATTGTTTTATCATCTGCCCATCGTATCACACCGGGAATTGTGGCTCATCTGAAACAATTAAAAATATTTGTACTGTTTCAATCCACAAAGTAATATAACTAATAGTTTAGTCAACAGAAGTTATTACTCGTTGGCAAATGTTTGAAAAGGTTCGTTCTAATTTTATTGATGGAAAATTTACGTGAAAACTGAAGACTTTCCACGTTTCAATTTGAAATTAGTTTGCTCTTTAAGAACCGTGCTTTACATATTCTATGCTTTATACTACATATTAGTTAGTTTAGTGAGAAAAGTACTGTGGTAATTATGTATTTTAGTTGCATACTCATGACTAATTAATTATTTTATGCCCATTCAATGTATTCCCCACGTATTTTCGCTACGTTGCTATGTTGTCGTAACACGTACAAACAAGAAAAAAATTACTAAAGAAAAGAATGACTGAAACAACATTTTATATAACATTTACAAGTAAACAGTTAATTCCGAAAATTATTTACGTGCTACGAAACTGTTATCGTCTACGAACTATGCGCTACGCGGCGTAGTACTCGTAGCAGTTAACATGTGTGCTACGAATCACGTTTCATTATATTTGTTTACCATTAGCACATACGAAAGGTTTAAACGTAATAACACTTATTATGTGAATGTTAACTAATTTAGTTTGTAATGAATTACCAAGGATATTAAAATTTTTATTGTAATGATCATGCTATTGTATTGAAGTAATCATTAGTTTTTATAAAAATTGCATCCAGCAGATCAGGAGTTAACTATAGTTGATAAATCATACCCTTCACGGCAGTCGGGTAAAGAGAAAATAAAAAAGGAAATTACTCATAAAATTCCATTTGAAACTTAACAGTTTTCAGCTCATTTTCAAGTTATCACAGTGCGACGGAATGCTAAAAGTCTTACGAGTGGTTCGTAAAAATAAGCATGAATTAGCTTTTGGACTGATTCACTTAACTTTATTTACTACATTTCTTTTAAAACTATGCTTACCCTACTAATATTATGAATGCGAAAGTTTGTGAGATGTATGTGTGTGTGTGTGTTTGTTTGTTGGTTAGTTACTCTTTCACGTCCAAACGGCTGAAGGGAACGAGACAAAATTTGGAAAAGGGGCAGATTATGGTGTGGAATAACACATAGCCCATTTTTTATCTGTTATATTAAACAACTAGCTACTTCCGCGCGGTTTAACACGCTCTGCTCAGCTCCTATGGGTCGTAGCGTGATGTTTTATAGCCTATAGCCATCCACGATAAAGGCACTATCCAACACAAAAAGAATTATTCAAATCAGACTTGTAGTTACGGAGATTAGCACGTTCAAACAAACAAACAAACAAAAAAACAAACTTTTCCGCTTTATATAATGGTATATGAAACCTACGTCGCTGGTAATAAGACATACTTTCAAGCTACGCTGGGCAGTTTCTGAAAATATTTTGTGTTTTTTTTTTATTGTTCGTTAATCTACGTCGTCTGTCACTTAGGTTAGAAAAATGATTTAACTGCTACAGTATTCTGTCTGCAGTCAAAGACTTGGTTTGAAACAATTTTTACTTTATATTTTCTACAACGTTAAATACTTATTTCGTAGTGAGCGCATTACAAAGAATTAAATTGTTTCTTTATGTATATTTCTATATTTAGTGTTGCATTGAAAATTGTTTTATTTTACTGAGAAAGCATTGGACGTTGTTGTTAGCATTAAAGACAACTTTGCAGATTTATGATGTGATATTTAGCTTTAAAATAATTATACTAACATTTCTCTGAATTATTCGCGTTAAACTTCATATAATCCTATGTAAAGTACCTAATGTTACGATCTTTAAAATTTTGTCATAACTAATAATTTCTGAACGCATTGAATCAATGAGAATTATTTCAATAAAAACCATAAAGTATGTATGCCAACCCTAAGACACAACTTTAACTTACTTCCACAACGAACAGTATAATTGCACTTTAACTTCTACATTACTACCAGTAACTTACCTTTAACTTGACAATTAAGTGCACAATACGAGTTTATTCATCAATATCACTAAAGTTTAGTTTCCGATAATTAAATTTGTACGCGGTAAACATCGATCGCGAGTTAAGTTTGTGTCGGGAAGACGACACGACGCGAGCCCCCGGCGTCTGAACGTGGAATGAAGGGAGGCTTTACCACCCGCCCCTATTCCAGCATTGGTCACATATACACCAACATTGGTATTGGTCCTGGTTCTCCGGCTGTAAACTTCCCCAACTGTTATTATCGGTTTTCCAACTACATCTGTGTGTGTTTGCAGTGGAAATAGCGGTTTCGGTGATGTACCACGTCGATTTTGGTGTGGCGCTGTTGTGTGATATTGTAGTGTCTATAGTATCAATTTTTGTTTCTTGTAAATTCTTCGTTTGTGTAGTTTTGCTTAGTTTGTTTATGTTCTATAATGTTATTCACAACTAAAACCATATTTTATTCGTTTTAAAATTCGATATTACTTTGCATAAGTAATACTATTGTATAATATACAGTGTATAATTTAAATCGCAACTAAGACCATGACCGCATCTCGTCCGATAGCGATAACACTAGATCGATTTAGTAAACACACTCATATGCGGACTGTAAATATATAAAAATGTAAAAACAAAAAACATTCCAAATGCCAATTAAAGCCAACGTTGGTACCAATATTAACGATATTAGCGGCCCAATATTGGGACCTTCCCGTCACTCCCTCGGCCGTGGTCGTCCCGTCACGCCGCCAACAGGTTCGTACATTTCATTTATTGTAATTTGTCACGCAAACTTACACCTTATTACAATGCCTTACATTTTCGAAGGTCACTAGATGACATTTTATTTTTGCTTCTTTTTATCTATCATGTTTGTCGTTTGTATCTTTTTTAGGCCCCTGATTACTTAAACATATGTTGGAAAGTGGTAGTTTTGCTGTTGACAGCTGCATTATGTATCGTCTCTCTGATTTCTTTGCGTAAATATTATGTATGTACATCCATGAACCTTCGCCTTTTGAAAATAGAACATAGTCGTTCTGTTTGCCTGTTCATGGTCTGCTTGTATACAGAGTGACTACGGCCCTTATATACTATTTAACCTTCATCCGAGGCCTCAGTACGAGTTTGTTTTACGCTTAAATTAATCGTAACGAGTACGCGTTCGGTGCTCTGATTAGTTGGTTCATTGGCGCCGGCCAATCAGATTGCCGAACGCGTACTCGTTACGAATACTTTAAACGTAAATGAAACTCGTACTCGTAAGACTACGATATTTATGCATTTGGAGTAATGTGTGTTCAAGTGCACCGGTTAAGAATAGTGCTCTTTGTTCAATATTTATTTTGCATAATTACCAAACTATGACTTTTTCCGAGTTATATGTACTTTCTAAGATTATGTAGAATAAGATCTACCACTGACAAACGGTGATGGAAAACATCGTAGGATAACCTGGGCTTAGAATTTCGAATTATAAGTTTGAAATCGCAACCCGTATTTGAAAAGCGTGGTGATTAATAAACCATCTCTGTGCGAGAAGAGGTCTTTGGTTTGCAGTGACCACTTATAGGCTGTTCATAATGACGATGATAGTTGCCGAACGACACCAATAATACTAACCGTAAAATAGTCCAATCAACTTTAAATTAATTTTGAGTCAAAGTTGATGTAGAACATGTTTCTAATTTAACTGAACAAGTTAATAAACATAAAACTGTGCGGTTACGCGAGCATGTCAAACGTTTTTAGATAGATAGATAGATAGATTCATTTATTTGCCTGAAATATGGTGGTTTACAGATTTTATGACATAACATTAGTTCATCATATCTCGCCTATAAATTTGGCATGCAAATACTTCAATAAAACTAAATCACAATTTTCAAAAATGATTCTAAGTTAGAACAAACAATCTAAACACAACCCTTGCTAATGATTCCAAATCAAAACAAGACAAACTAAGTTACAATTTCCAATAATCAATAATGACTCCAATTCAAAACAAAATAAAAATAAACTACAATGTTGTTGAATATCAATAATTAAAAAGCGGAGAAATTGAAATAATTAATAAATTAAATTCTCAAATTGAAATCCAGAGTTATTAAGTTAAAAATGTCAAATACAAAAATTTTAGGCTTCAATGAATAAATTACAATGTCAATAGAACAATAATAATCACATTTCAGATGTCAATAAACCAATTAACAATGTCAAAAATTAAAAAAAAAAACTAATACGATTGTACATTGCTTTTTCGTATATCTTTGCAATTATAGGTATTAACGTCACCGGACGATAGTTGTTTATGTCGTTTTTATTTTTATTTTTATATAATGGTTTTACAACTGAGAACTTTAATTTGTTTGGGTATTTTTCTTCATAGAAACTTAAATTTATAAGATGAGAAATAATAGGGGCCAATAGTTCGGCACATGACTTTATTATGTGGGTGGAAATGTTATCATATCCCACTGCGTTAGTATTGTTTAGTGTTGCAATTATTTTATTTATTTCATAGGGCGTACAAGGTTCGAGATATAAACTATTACTTTCACTATTAGTGTTTTTTATGATATTAGGTTTATTATTTGTAATATCTATATTTGTCGTATCAATGAAGTGATTATTGAAGGCTTCCGCAATTTCTTCAGGTTTCGCTATCAAATTGCCATTTAGTTTAATTGTCTCTATAT